TCAATATGTTGCCCACCTGAAGTTAATATAATATTGTATGTTAATTATACCTCAATAAAAATTTAAAAATAAAATAAAGAAGACATTAAAAAAAAAGAAGTCAGCAAATTTCACATTCTATGTGCATAGAGTAGAAAGAAGAATGGAGTAGGAAGAAGAGTGAAAATAATAAAATTTTAAAAAGGAAAATGACAGGACGCCTGGGTGCCTCAGTCGGTTAACCATCTGCCTCTGGCTCAGGTCATGATCCCGGGGTCCTGGAATAGAGTCACACAATGGGATCCCTGCTCAGTGGAGAACTTGCTTCTCCCTCTCTCTCTGTCCCTCCCCCCTCTCGTATTCTCTCTCTCACTCAAATAAATAAATAAATAATCTATTTTAAAAAAAAGGAAAAAAATGAATGGCTAATAAAAACAGCCAAATATTTTTTAAATGCCTAGATTATAAAAGATCTTATGCTGAGGAGTTTAAATATGATCATATAGGTACTTGGGTCTAGCAAGAAGAAAGCAAAAATTAGATGATTAAATTCACATTTTAGAAAGACCCTTTTGTCAGAAGACTGGAGCGGGGAGTGCAAGTAGACAATGGAAGCCAAATGAAGTTACTATAGCACTAGTTTAGCAAAATTTAAGAATCTAGACTAAGGGAGTAGTGATGGAAATGGAGGAGGGAACAAATGAGCTGTTGGGAGGTATACAGAAAAGGTAAACTGAGCAGAAGACACCCTGATCTCTCACTTCAGATACTGATAACAAGACAGGGAATAAGGCAGGGAGAATCAGACCCAGAAAGAGGAGTGGGCAGAAGGGAAGAAGATGACTGTTTGAATCTTGATAGCTTTAGCTTTAAAAAAAAAAAAAAAGATTTTATTTATTTATTTATTTGACAGAGAGAGCACAAGCAGGGGCAGAGGAAGAGGGAGAAGCAGGCTCCCCACTGAGCAGGAAGCCCGATGTGGGGCTCGATCCCAGGATCATGACCTGAGCCGAAGGCAGACACTTAACCGACTGAGCCACCCAGGTGCCCGACAGTTTTAGCTCTAGATCACAAACTGCAAGCTAGGATCTTTCAAAAGAGGACAAGCACCTGAACATCTAAGGCCAGGAAAGGGAAGAGAATTTGGGCTATATTCAAATCTTCTGTGAGATGAAGCCAAACATGCCAGTGTCTGAACTGAATATCAATGTGGCCTGCTCTCTGCCCCTGCTGTCTGGTTATCAGGGCAGAACTAATGAAATTCCAACAGAACAACACAGCCAGAGTCACCATGTTTTCGGACACCTTCGCCTACTTTACCCTGTTAGAGCAAGAGCATGAATATAACCTGTGTTCTATTTTTTTTTTTAAGTTTTTTTTTTTTTTTTATTCATGAGAGACAGAGCGAGAGAGAAAGGCAGAGGGAGAAGCAGGCTCCCAAGGAGCAGGGAGCCCGATGTGGGACTCGATCCCAGGACCCTGAGATCACAACCTGAGCCGAAAGCAGACGCTTAACCATCTGAGCCACCCAGGCGCCCCACCTGTGTTCTATTTTTATAGAAAACGAGGCAAAAAGAAAAATCACAGGTAACTTAATCTCCCATACCGTAGGTCATGCATAAATAAGTTACAGCAAAAACTTATTTCTACAACTAGGAATTACACTGTTTTTAAAAGAAACAAATATTGAAAGCCTAGAACTATGCTAGGTAATTTATATAATTATCACCCCTCACAGGGTTAGTATATCTCTATCTTACAAGCGAGGAAACTGAAGCTCAAAAAGGTTAAGCAGCTGCCCAAGACCACAGAGCTAGTACGTGGCTGACCTGGGATTCAACTCCAAATTTAATGAACCAAGTTCAAATCCACGTGAGCCTAATGACTACATGCTGCTTATGGAGGTGAAGAAAAACAAAGTGAAAAACAGCACGGTCTCTGTTCCAATCTTTCTCAGAGCTCACGCTGCCACTAGCATTCCTAATTGTGCCTTTTAAACTAGATTCTCCAACTTAAATGCCTTCCCCTACCCCTATCCTCCACCTAAGTTCTACCTGTCCATCAAATCTAGCTCCATCTCCAATTCCCCATCACCTGAGAGGCCTCTGGATAAATTCTCTCAATCATGCTCTGTCTCTCTCTTGTACACCAAATAATTCCATTTATTGTCTCAATCATTCAACCATCCATCCATCCCAGAAACATAAGACAGGTTATGGGTAAAGTAATGTACTCAGCAATGAGGTTGTACAAAAGAAATATGAGTACTGTTTAGGGATAGAAGACACAGAAATTTAGCTAGCTTAATATAAAATATCATTTCATATTATAAACTACTTGTAAATGTTTTAGATCTATACTCAATCATTTGTTGTTTTATGTCTACAAGTGTTAAAGTGAGTGTCGTCGCTTCAACATCACTGGAAATTTCTTGTAATTCTTCTGTAGTCCTCCAGACATCCAACAAAAACTGGCTGAAGTCCTGTGAGGAACAGTGCTAGGTACTATAAGAGATACAAAAAGATACAAGATCCAATCTCTGCCCTTCACCTGAAGAAATAAAATAAGTGTGCAAATAAAATAAGGCACAACATATGATAAACTGACATAAATGTTATATATCATGGTCAGTGAGTAGAGAAAAAAAAGCAAAAATAAATAATAGGTTTGCAAGGAAGGACTCAGGTTTTCCTGGTACCTAAGCTGAGCCTAAAGCATCCTTAGGATCCTAAAAGCTAAAACAGAAGATAAATACTAGAAAAGAAAGGCTTATGATTAAGAAATGTGCCAACTGATTATGTTCTAAGATACAAGAAAGTCACTTCTATAAAAAGAAAACTACAGTTCATGCTAGCAAGTTTAATATATGAACAATATTTTGATTAGGAATAAAACTGTGAAAATGAATATCAAAAGGAATATTTAGATCTGCTATTTCAGGCTTCCAATTCTTGGCAGCCGGCTGGCTAATAAAAATGCAAGGGGTAGTTGGCAAGACTATAGGCTATTGAGATATTTACAACTACTAGGGTCTAAAAAATTTTTTTTAACTTTTTTCAATATTTGTATTAAATATACAAATAAAGTTTTCTAATTATTTAATATGAAATTGCTTGCTCTATTACTGAACTCCTCAGGGAAAAAAGATACTATTTAAATGAAAAAGATAAGCATGATTATTGATTTCAACTTAAAGACAGCTAAATGAAAAGCAAGCACAGGTATTGCCAAGAATCTCTTTCAATCCAGTACTAGTAAACGTAAGACTATTCATGAACCCTAATCTCATTTGAAATAAATGATTTATTTAGGCTCCAATTTATCATATTCATAGTTAAAAGTGTACGGCTTACTGTGGTCTTTACAAGCAATTCTCTGATAACATCTATATCTGGTCATAACATTTAGTGACATTATTAAATGTTTTTGTTTCAAATATTTCATATGCTAAATTAAAACATACATAGCCATCTGAGGACAGAGAATAGAACACACAGCTTGCAGAATTCATTTTCCACAAATTACTTGGATTTTTTTCTGGGCTAGATTATTAGGACACATTAATAAAGGGATTTTTTGGTAAAGGAAATGTAGATTTCTAGTATGGACAACTAACTTCCTTATGGATCCAACTCTTCCACAAATAACTATAATTTCTGGACAAAATGCAAAACAAACAAAAAACCAAAAGCGCCCAGGTGACCATAAATAGGAAAACGGCTCAGCAAACTGTGGTACACGCAAACAGTAGAGTACGACTGAGCAATTAAAAGCAAGAACCACTGAGACAAGAAACAACATGGTGAATCTCGAAACCATTAACCTAAGCAAAAAGTGTCTCACACAAAATAGTACATATGGTATGATTCCTTTTACGTGGAACTCTCAAAGAAACAAATATAATCTATAGTAAGGAAATAAAGCAAAACAGTGGTTGCAACCTCTGGTGTTTTAGGCAACTGACTCTGAAGGGGCACGTAGAATTTTCAGTAGTTTGATAGGCGGTTTTGAGTTATACAAGTGTATGCATTTGTCAAAACTCAGGCCAAGTGCAGTTAAGATTTGTGTATGTTATGACCCATAAATTTTACCTCAAAAGAAAAAAATGCAAAATACTGAACTCTATTTATGACATGCATGATAAAGTATTTAGGGGGACAGTGTACCGATGGCTGCAATTTACCTTGAAATGCATCAAAAATAAGACAGACTAATGAACAGAGGGGTACAAATAGATGAATAAACATGTGACATAGCAAATATACTAAAATATTAAAGGCAAAATCTTGGTGTGGATGGATATAAGAATATTTATTGTAAACTTCTTTCAAGTTCAAAATTTTTCATAAAAATGTAAGAGGCCCTCCCTCCCAAAAAAAGAAGATAAATGACACTAGATTAATTCAGAACAACTCCTGTCTGACTAACATCATTTCCTTTTAACAGGCTTACTACCAGACTGGTAAATCAGAGAAAGACAACTGACGACATATTTGGACCTCAATAAATTTGGATCTCTCTTTATATTCTGAGCAAAGCAAAAAAACCCAGATTGCATAAATAATAATGATAATATTAAATATATTATAACAGAATTAATGATACAATAATATTTAGTTAACAATATATAATTAATAATATATAATTGTAACAAATATCAAATACAATAAAATTGTTGTGTACAACACTCTTTACTAGACTGCCTCTTAGCACTTCATATGTATTAACTATTTAATCTCTGCAAAAGTCCTATGGGGTAAATACTATGATCCACATTTTACTAATGGGGAAACTAAGGCATGCATATGCTAGGTAATTTGCTCAATGTCACATACTTAGTAAGTGTCAGAGCCAGAAATTAGAATTCAAAGAGTCTGGGTCAGAACCCCTGCTCTTAACCACTTCCCTGTGATTGCTCTCTTAGTTGACTTCGTAACTGACATAATATAATATATGGCATTCTTAAGGTTGTGGATGACATGAAACTAGGAGCAAAAGCAAATATGTTACTTTACAAATTATCCAAAAAGATTAAGGGTCAAACAATAAGAGACTGTAACAAGATAAAATTCTATAGGGATCAAATACAAGATCCTGCATTTGAGTGCAGAAAACCAACTATACCTCCAGTGAGAGCACTGGTACACAGCAGGTTTTTGGCAAGAATCTGTCAGATGAAAATATGACTGAATGACAAAATAAAGAGAATGTGTGAAACAGAGACACTTTAATAAACCAAAAGCAAAATATAATTTAATAAATAATGCTATAAAATGCTAATATGTAGGGTGCCTGGGTGGCTCAGTCGTTAAGCGTCTGCCTTCGGCTCGGGTCATGGTCCTGGGGTCCTGGGATCGAGTCCCATAT